GAAAAAAATTTGGATAGTGAAGGAAGATAAGGGAAAGGTGTATAAGGATTTAGAGCAGGGGATTGGACATAGGGTATATAAGTAGGGTGAAATTTTGACAGGGGGTAAAAAGAATAGGGAAAATCTAAAGCTGGAGTAGGGTAAGAGAAACAGGACAACAAAAGGGAAAAGGGGGGAGGGCTGGATTTCTGGGCAGCTGCTAAGAGCTGTGAGATGAAGTGGAGGCTCCTGCCTTTAAAATGAGCTGGACCTGAAGGCACGGAGTTTATATAACTGTGGTAGAGAGCTGTACCTTCTGAAACATTTCCAATAGTTTCTAACTAATTTAAATACTACTAATAACTCTGTGGGAATTAGTCTTTGTGTTAATAGATTCAAGTATCCAACCGTCCGCTAAAAGTGGCTGACAGTCTCCCGATTGGCCTGGAAATGGCTGAAATGAGAAAAAGTGTAACATTTCAGCAAATTTTTCTTGCAGTGTGTCACCTGATAGTGGTAATGGTTTGTTCATTTGTTCAGCAGACACTTATGAACTTATTTGCCAAGCATTCGTTCTTTCAACAGATGTTACTTGAGTGCCCAAGTGCTCAGGGACTGGCCGTGGCACGGGATGCAGCTGGGAATGAGGTGGACAGTCCTGCCCTCTTAGCTAACAGACATTAAGCACCTAATTTTGCGCACGTGCTACGGGAGGGGCTGCACAGGCGCTGCTCGGCGCTGGGGCTTTTCCTGAGCAGCGGTCACAGGCCCGCCTTAAGGCTGCATGAGAGAGCCAGGCCCTGCCCTCTGGTGCACAGCCCAGGAGGGGGACAGGCAGAAACCAGGCGTCTACAAGGCCTGTGGGGTGCAGAGGAGGGAGCCGGGTGTCTCAGCCTTAGCTGCGAGTGTTAATACCTACCCTCTGACCCTGCAGCATGGACAAGGACAGCCCGGACATCCACCATGACCTCAACGCCCTCAAGACCAAATTCCAGGAGACGCGCAAGGTCATCAGCACCATGCCCGGCATCCACCTGAGCCCTGAGCAGCAGCAGCAACAGCTGCACAGCCTCCGGGAGCAAGTCAGGACCAAGAACGAGCTTCTGCAGAAGTACAAGAGCCTCTGCATGTTTGAGATCCCCAAGGAGTAGACGAGGCCGCCGCGTGCAGGATGCCCAAGAAAGCAGGGGAGAGCAAGTGGCCCGGATTGGTTCCTTGTGAAGTGTGGTTCCTTATGAAGTGTGGTTCTTTGGACCCCAGCTCTGAACTTTATAGCCGAGTGGCGGGGAGGCTATTGTGCTGCTTCCTCAGCTGAACTTGACGTTGACTGTGGGGGGGCTTCCTTCCATGTGTCCGCGTGTCTCGATGCGTAATAGCTGGAGTGCCTGCCTGTGGGAAGAAGAGGGTCCTGGCCCTGCCTCTGGGGAGGGGCCACCTCCTGTGTGTTTGGGCTCCACTGGCATCTCCGCTTTACTTCCTGCCTCCCTCTCTCTTCCCCCCGGACATGATCAGTGTGTGCCAGGGCCACATCGTTCTGTTAACAGTGCTGTGTAGCCTTTGCACGAAGCTCACTGGACAGATGAGGCCTGGGCTCGTGCGGCGTGGGCTTAACATGGTGAAGGAAGGCTGGGAGAAAGCAGTTTTGAAAGACGTTTTCTCCTGAAACTGTTTCCTTTTATGTTTGAGCCAGTGAGTGTCACTGTCCGTGGGGGGTCGGCCAGCTGCCTGCCGGTGGCCCCTTATCAGGTTCTCTGCCACCTACATGCTCTTTTCACTTTCAGCTCTTGCTCCCTTTGTCTCCTGTCATCTGCGGGCATCTCGTTTAGCCATTTAATGCCCAAGAGTGGCCAAACCGCTTCAGACCTCCTGGGGCCGGGGGGAGTGTCACTTCTACGCAGGCACAGGCGGGCTTCCGGCAAACAGCCGGCCTCTTCCAGCGTCTCAGATTCCGTGATCTTGGTTTAAAAGTTTATTTCTCTCTCTGGCCTCGCTAAAGAGCCAGCACGAACATTACTGCGCTGCAGGCAGGTCATGATGGACTTTTTGTTCAGAAGGGCGGCTCGGTGACAGCTGTGACCGTCCCTGGGCCAGGTACAGTTCTGAAGGGTGGGGCGCGCTAAACCCAAAGTTCAGCAGCCAAGTTCTGGTTCATGAAATGTTTACAAACACCCCTAATTTCCTGCAGGTGGGACGTTTTATTTTCATGCGCGTCCCTGGCCTCTTAAAGGATAAGGTGAGACTAGTAACCAAATATTATTTGAATCTAGAACTGAGTGCGTAACCTATGCTGACCAGTTCTGGGGCTTACCAGCTGCCTGCTGCTGACCTGGCCCGCAGGTGCTGACGGTGGAGATATTTTTAGCAGGGCTTCGTTCAGTGGCCCTGCAGCCACCTGCCAGAAGAGGGCGGGGCGGGAGCTGGGTCTGTGGTGGGGATCCGGTTTCTGTGGCTTTGGACAGAGGAGCCGGCTCTGCATTGAGGTGGGTAGTACCTGTTAGACTTCTACGTTGGGACTGTTCTTTAACTGAATCAGTTATTTTCTTGAACTTTCAGAGTAATGTGGGGCCAGTTTTAAGGCTCTGACCAAATACCATGAAGCACGAAGCACATGGGATGCAGGGCCCGGGCTTCCTGCCAGGCTGGGAGGTCAGCGTCCTGGGCGTCGTGGTTTTCAGGAGCGTCATTAAAAGCACTTTGCTCTGCTCTCAGGACATCTTGGTTTTTGTACTGAGAAGTTCTTAACAGGATGTCTCCTGGGCACTGGATATGTTCCCTTTGCTTAGAGATGACAAAGGGGCAACCTCCACTCCGCACCCCTCCCCCTAGCACACACATGTTACAGTGTGGAAGCAGCAGCTCCTGCTGGCCTGGAGGGTCATCCTGCCCGCCCATGATGGGCCCCAAGGCTACCCCTCATTCCATAAGGGGTTCAGTCCTGGCAGGGAGCAGCCCTCACCAGAGCGAGGTGGTAGTCCCTCCCCCGGGACAGTATCAAATGCCCCTTACCGGCTGAACACCCCCTGGAAGCCGATTATTTGGATTATTGGGTGGCAGGCACTTTTTATTTCTTTAAAGATTTTTAAAAATTAATTTGAGAGAGGGAGAAACATCGATGTTCCGCTCTCAGCTCTCACATGGATGGGCCACCTCCCGCAGGCCCTCCCCCCCGCCGGGGATCAAGCCCGCAACCTGGGCATGTGCCCTGACCGCAGATTGCAGCAGCGACCTTTGGTGCGCAGGATGGGACGACATCCAACCAACAGCCACAGCGGCTTAAACATCACACTTAATTCTCACAGCAACTCCACGCAAAGGGCGTTCTCTGTATTTTCCTGGCACAGAATTCGGGGCTTGGCAGGTGTCGCTGCCCCAGGCTCGCACAATTCAGAGGGGTCCTGAGCTGAGAGTGGCTGCCTCCGCTCCTGAGGAAAGGAGCCAGCAGAGAAGCGCGCCGGACCCCTACCCAGGGCAGAAAGTGCTTCCTGGAGTTGGAGGGGCCCGGAGGCTCAACTGTCTGCAGACAGCCGCCTGGGAGTCCGGAGAGGAGCCACGGGCCAGCTCTGCCTCCTTACTTGTGAACACAGGGCCCAGTGACACCTCCAGACCTGTCACCCGGGGCCTGCACTGAGTATTGGACAGACAGTTGGGCACAGCCCCAGGGCCCTTTGTGGCTGGGTCGCAGGGAAGCTAAGCAGGTAAATGGCTAGAAAGATGCATCTCAAGAGAGGACTCTGAAATCCTTTCTTGTTGGCCTCGATTTCAAAGGACCCATTCCCCAAATAGAAGGGCTTCCGCCCAGCCATCCGGAACTTTCCTAGAGCCTCTTCCCCCAGGAGGGCTGAAGCTGTGCTCAGAGCGCTGGTGCGTTTTCCGGGTCTGGGAAGGGGAGCCTAAGCCACAGTGTAGAAACCCACTCCTCCCTCTCACCCTGCCCCTCGGCCCATTTATAAAAGCAAAGAAAGCATGGTTTTCATTTTAAATTATTTTATAGTAAAATAACCAGTAACAATAACACGGTCTCACACAGTATAAACACTGGATAAGGTTTTGTTCATGTTCACGAAGTTTTTTCCTTGTGCAGTTTCACATACACATGTAAACAAGTCATTTGGCTGATCTGACCCCTTAGTTTCAGGGCAAAAGCTTTTGCCAGCTGCCAGGGCAGCCCAATCGCAGACAAGTGAATGCCCTGGTCTCCCTTTACCCTGCGGCGGGCAGGACGCCCAGCGGTGGCTGATTCACTTCCACACACACCCTACCCAACTGTTCGGTCTCTGAGAATCCGGGCAAGTTCACCCTCTGTTGGACCTGTGCCCACCAAGTCAGGGCGCGGGGGTTGGTGGTGGTGCCAGTGGGCGCTCAGACGTGGGGGGAGGGGCACCTGTGACCCAGTTCGCTTTCCTTCCAAAGCAGATGACCAGCCCTCCTCCGTTTTCACCTCCCAGTTGGCGGGCCGGGCTCTGGGGAGGGAAGACGCCCGGACACTTGAAGCTCAGGGCCGGCCTGGACCTGGATTTGACTTTTAAACGACAGGGTCTTCCTTCGGTCCTGCTGTCGGCCTGGGGGAGCGGGAGCCCTAGCTGATCACGCAGCGCTCCCTGTCCTTGGCCTGGCCGCCCGCCTTCTCCC